ATTAAAACCCATTACAAACGAGGCATTTGTTGCGTCCAGTGGGGACATAATTACTGATTATAATGACTTATACTGTCTTTTTACGCGTTGCGTTGCATTGCATTGCGCCGCGTAAACATAAAACCCTGTCTGCATTTGTGATCGGAGAAATGACAAACAACAAGTGCTACTCCACACTGCCCAAAACTCACGTTTGAATCATCAGTGGCAAATCCAGTGGTGAGTCAGAACTGCCGGCATTTTAGTCTAACGTTACTCTCCCAGGATCAGTAAACAGTCCTCCATAAAATGTGCTGCACACATCTGGATATTTGGGTTAAACTGTTCTGGAACAGTGTTGTAAATACAACTTAACCACTGATTTGTAGTCGTGTCCTCTTTTGGAAGACCAAACAAAGTAGTTTCGTTTTCACAACGAAAAACACAGCGGCCTAGCGGAAGCCCCGGCTTAAAAATTGAAATCGCATCATATGACCCCTTTAAAAAAGTAACTATTAAAATCCAAAACAAGAAAGAAATTACAGTAATGTATACCAACTCACACAGAATAACAGTATGTTTTATAATGGTTACTTTTCTGAAATGATAAGTCTTTATGACGTATGTGACTGACAAATATGATCTCTGGAAAGTGCAGCCTTTCAAATGAGAGTGTATGTATGTGTGTGTAATTCGTTGAGAACAAAATTATGTGACAATGGTCAATTGAAACCAGAGTCATCAACCCACTGAGGGCTGGATTCAAAGTTTCATAATGCAAGTGAGTACTGTTTATGGCCCCCACGTGCCTCTCTGCACTTCTGGCAACATCTGGGCCTGCTCCTATCCAGACCTGGATAAGGGCATCAGTGAGCTCCTGGACAGTATGTGGTGCTACGTCACAGAGGTTTTCAACTGGATTCAGGGCTGAGGAACATGAGGGCCAGTCAATTGCATCAATGCCAATGCCAATCGTCTTTCCGAAACTGCCTACACACTCTGGCCACATGAGGCCAGCATTGTCATGCACCAGGAGGAACCCAGGGCACACTGCACCAACGTAATGTCTGAGAGTGGCTCTGAGGATTTCATCCCTGTACCTAACAGCAGTATGTATACCTTTGGCTTGCATGTGGAGGTCTGTGTGTCCCTCCAAGGATGTTCCTCCTCAGACCAACACTGACCTACTGCCAAAACGGTCATGCTGGATGATGTTGTAGGCAGCAAAATATTCCCCATGGCATCTCTAGACTCTGGTACAGTGCTGGGCTATGAGCAGAATGTTGGGCCCTTATGCCACTCTCATGGAATCTTTCTGACAGTTTGGTCAGAAACATAAACACCAGTAGCCTCATTTTTGAGGGCTTTGGCAGTGCTCCTCCTGTTCAACTTGCACAAAGGAGCAGATACAGTCCTGCTGCTGGGTTGTTGCGCTTCTCCGGCCCTGTCTCCCAGTATCTCCTCCATGTTCTTGAGACTGTGCTGGGAGATACCAAACCTCCTGGCAATAGCACATATGGAAGTGCCATTGTGGAGGAGCTAGACTACTTGTGCAACCGGATTGAGTTGCAGATACTGCCTTTTGCTATAAGTATTGAGAAGGACCCTAACAAAAAATAAAACTAGGGACAAATCAGTCAGTAAGTATAAGGAGAGAGCAATTGTCCGTGGCCATGAAACGGATTCACAATCGCTTATGCTTCCTAACTGGACAAATTTATATCCCTGAAGATTAATTGACTAAGTGTTATACTGTGATGATTAAAGGGATAGTTCACCCCAAAATGAAAATTCTGTCATTAATTACTCACCCTCATGTCGTTCCAAACCTGTAAGACCTCCGTTCATCTTCAGAACACAAATTAAGGTATTTTTAATGGAATCTGACAGCTCTCTGACCCTCCCATAGACAGCAAGGGTACTACCACGATAAACGTCCAGAAACGTAGCAAGGAGATTGGTAAAATAATCCACGTGAAAGCAATATACATCCATCAAGTTGTTAACTTGTTAATCAAACTAAAAATTTTAAACTAAAATCTGTGGGGACAATGACACTGTGATTTTATCTGCTCCATGTGCCCGGTCCACTTGCTGTTTCACAACTTCCACTCCATCATCAGCTTTAGTAAAATCACCTGATAGCTGGGAATTTTACTGACTCTCTAACTCAGGGGTGGGCAAACTTGGCCCTTCCAGGTCACTTTCCTTCAGAGTTTAGCTCCAGCTCTTTCTTTTTAGAATAGTTTACATTTTTACTTATCGAAGATTGTTCTTTTCATGACCATTCCCAGATTATGCCAGAATGAAGCGAAGAGAGGTATCGGTATCGGCCCCAAAAAACCCATATTGGTCGGGCTCTAGTTTTAATCTCTAAAGGTAATGCATGGAATATATGGAAAAGCTCCACTCAATAATAGCGCTAATATGTGAGGGGCGGGGCTTTGGCAATCGGTGCTACCGATGACCAGTCAATCTACTCCACAGCTAATCACGGGCCCCCTCCTTGTCCGGGACCCGGGGCTTCAGCCCCGCCTAGCCCAATGGTTAATGCGGCCCTGCCCTGCCCTGCCCGCACCTCGTTTTGATTTTTAAAAAGTAAATAGTATGTGCTCATGTTTATTCAACGAAGTCTTTTGGAAAATCGGTCAGTTTTGATATTGTGGCGAGCGACACAAATAAATAAATGTATGAGAAACACATCCCACAGCACAACCACCTGAGCCCAAATTCTGTCTACTCAAACCGTCTGTATAAAGCTTGAAGCATCAGAATCGGCATCGGTATCAGTATCAGCCGATCACCATGACAAGAAATCGGTACTCGGTATCGGCTGCAAAAATCCTGATCTGAGCATCCCTAATATGTATATAAATACACACACACACACACACACACACACACGTTTTTTTGTTTGTCAAAACTCTACTCTGTTTGTTTTTCTTTCAGGGTTTGTATATCAGTGGAGTAATTGGCGATCGGTTCAACCTTCGCTATGTTCTGTCCTTTGGTTTATGTGGATCCGCTGTCACGGTTGGTATTCTGCTGAAATATGGAGCTGAATGCATTAAAGCATGGTTCCTCATATCTTGCCCTGGAGGGCCAATGCGCTGCAGAGTTTAGCTCCAACCCTGATCAAACTTATCTACCTGTGATTTTCTAATGAACCTGAAGACATTGAATAGCATGCTCAGGTGTGTTTGATTGTGGTTTGAACTAAACTCTGCAGGAAAGTGGATCTTGCGGGCCAGAGGATCCCTGCATTAAAGTATAACATAAAGAAAACATCTTGTGTACGTTAACACTGTTAACACTTTCAAATCAAAGTCCGTAAAATTGTTTCACCTCATAGCTGGTTACTTCGGTTCATGGTTTACAACTCTTTAATGAAAACTGCCTATGGTAAAATACTTCCAGAACCAAGGGCCAGATTTACTAAACGGCAAATTAGCATTAGAGCGCAATTCCATAAAAGCACCGATGGGAGGGTAAAATTCTGCAGGTGATTTACTAACAATGTGCACATTAAAGAACACAGACGCAGCCAGATAATTTCCATTATGAACAGCGCAATCTACCAAGAGAAGCGCAAATTACCGCCTGCTTTAAGACATGCGTTTTTTGGGTGTTAAATAATGCCGCAAATACCAGTAATTTGATGAGCGCAAACGTTAGTAAATTGCATTGCGTGATTCATTTGAATACTCTCCTCCCTTAAATTTTGCGTCTGAAAGGGAAACTCCTACAAATGCATGTTCAATAAGGTCAGGCGCAAAAATAACTGTCAACGCCTTTTCAGCACAAATTTTTCACTGCGCATCTTTAGTAAATCCTGATAGTAGTACTATTTTAACACCAAAAGATGGTTTGTGCTGGCGCAAGCTGTTAGTAAATCTGGCCCTAAGGCCTCTGAAAAAGTGGACGGCCACTGTTGCACACTATTCATTGGCTGATGGCGCTAACACCGCCCTTTGAGGCGCCACATCATCAGTGTCTTAAAAGGACAAATCGTAGAATTAACTAAACAAATGACACAGTTTTCACATTTAGCCTGTCCCAAACTGGGAGAATGCACGATATGAGGGGCCCAAATGATGCGCTACCTCAGAGCATGGCACTAGCGCCATGAGCCAATAAATGGTTGTCATTATGTACAGGCTTTAGGCAATTGTCACATCTGGATGGTGTTCTAGTAGCTTTAGATACTGACACAGCATTGAGTGAACCTATGAAAGTGATCAAAAATAATCTGTGAATTCATGTCTTTATTTATTTACATTCACCCTCTCTTCTCTTTAGGAATTTGTGTTTGGCACTTTGACAGAGTGGCTTCACTTTTATAATGTGTACTTTTACTGCATCTTGTGGGTGATAAATGGACTGCTCCAGTCTACAGTATGGCCTTGTGTTGTGGCCATCATGGGCAACTGGTTTGGAAAATCTGGGTAGGTGTCACTATGTAGTGTGTGATTATTAATATTATTTGTTATTGTTATTATTTTTTGCATAAAGTACTTAAGCACAAAAGTATCTGCATTTTTTTTTCACTAATCATCCTTGATCCAGTTTAATCAGGTGCTAAATGTGCTGATATGACACTGTGCTGTTTTTGCGCCTGCCCAAATTGGCCTCATTTCTATTCTTCCTTTCTTTCTGATTCCCGCATATATCTTCTGTCTGCCAGGCGAGGATTTGTTTTTGGACTTTGGAGTGCATGTGCGTCCGTGGGGAACATTCTGGGTGCGTTTCTTGCCTCCAGTGTCCTGAAATACGGCTATGAGGTGAGAGGACATCATTCTTACTGAAACATCATTCATTCAATGGTGCTGTGTGAAAACCAGCTATAAACCAATAAACATGCTAAATAATGTAATGACAATGATAATGTAATACAATATAATATATGCAGAACTGTTGGTGTGAGGGTTTTTCTTAGGGGAGGGGATTGCTAGCTCTGTATACAAACAATGTTGATGAGTGTTTGTGTGTGTGTTTGTTTCAGTATGCTTTCCTTGTGACATCAGTGGTGCAGTTTGCAGGTGGTGTAGTGGTGTTTTTTGGCCTGCTTACATCCCCAAAAGAAATTGGTGAGTTCATCTTTGTACAGTTTTTGTATTTGCAGTAGTGTTACATAAACAACAGCATATACAAAAGTACAGATACAAGAGAGCTGGTTTTGGGTTCTTCATCTGCTGTTCACTGTCATTTAGCAAAATAGTGTAATTGTGAGCTCCAAGAGCAAGTCATCGTTTTAAGTAACCAAATGCACATATCTTATTGGTTAGCCATTATTCTTGCAGTGCAATAGAAAAGGGATTAGAACACCTCTCTTTAAAATGTCTGTCACAGTGACGGCATGTGAATGTCTGTGTCGCAACAGTCGTTCATTCAAATTAAAATGTTCATTCCGAATTAATGCACCAAACATTTGTCTTAATGTGAACAGGCCTATAGTCTGCAATGATTCATAGGCCTTGTTCCTTACATTTGAAAAAAAAAAAGATTTGTGCATTTCATTTTAATTTCGAATTTCTTATAAGCATATGTATAGCATAGTGTATAATAGTGTAGGTTGCACTTTATTTTACAGTACGTGTACTTACATGTACTTACAGTGTACTTACTGTGAGCAAGTACTGGTAATATAAGGTAACTACACGGGGTAGGGTTAGGTTTAGGGGTAGGTTAAGGGTAAGTACCTAGTTTTTACCTAGTTATTGTAATTACTAAAATAAGAACATAGTATGTACATGAGTAACAGGACTGGAAAATAGAATGCTACCATAGTGTATACATTAAGTGTACAAGATTGTTTTCATCTCTTGGTCTCTTTTTTTTTTTAAGGACTAAGTGACTACTCTGAGACAGGTCTGAGACCAGTGACAAGAGACACAGACAGTCAGCGTCCTCTGATAAGTGATGATGAAGATGAGTTATGTGATGAATACTCCATACAGCAGCGGGATGAGGAGCCTGAACCGCAGCCCAAAGCCATCGGCTTTCTCCAGGCCTTCTGCCTGCCAGGAGTCATTCCTGTCAGTGTCCATTTAAACACTTCCTTACTTGCATATTAGACCACTATTGTCGACTAGATTTGAGATTTATATATTGTCTGTCTCCTACAGTATTCTCTGGCTTATGCATGTCTGAAGCTGGTCAACTACTCTTTCTTCTTCTGGCTGCCATTTTATCTCAGCAACAACTTCGGCTGGAAGGAGGTTCAGGCCGACCGGCTGTCTGTGTGGTATGATGTGGGAGGCATTGTTGGTCAGTACCCAGTTCAATTAAGTTTTTTTTCTCAGTTCACTCTAAAAGAAACAACCAATCAAAAGATCAACAACACAATTACTGGTGAAAATGCTCATTAACAAAGGGATTTTGATTTCTGTCAGTGATAGTAAAGATGAAACAAAAAATGGACATCATGACGATAATTAGACAATTTAAATGGAAACATACAGATGACAAAAGAAAAAAAAAAAACAGGTTAGATATTAACAATACAAGCAATGATTTTAAAGTAAATGCTCATATTGTAAATGTAGTTTCAAATAATCCAATCATAGTCCGTAATATCAGGAACTTATTTTAGCTGTGAGAAGCTGAGAGGTGAATAAACACTGGAAAACTGAATCGCAATAGAATATATACTATAGAAGGCTAATTAACTTACCCAAACACATCCAATGCATTAGTCATGTATAAACGCAACATATAAAAGAGATATTCAACTTATATGAATGAATGAATGATGCATTTATATAGCGCTTTACTGTGTATTGTTGTACACCCAAAGCGCTTTACAATCATGTGGGGGGGTCTCTCCTCAACCACCACCAGTGTGCAGCATCCACTTGGATGATGCGACGGCAGCCACAGGACAGCAGCGCCAGTGCGCTCACCACACACCGGCTACAGGTGGAGAGGAGAGAAAGTTATAGAGCCAATCAAGTGGATGGGGATTATTAGGAGGCCATGATTGACAAGGGCCAGGGGGGTAATTTGGCCAGGACACCGGGGTTACACCCCTACGCTTTACGAGAAGTGCCATGGGACTTTTAATGACCACAGAGAGTCAGGACCTCGGTTTAACGTCTCATCCGAAAGACGGTGCTTTTTGACAGTATAGTGTCCCTGTCACTAACTACACTGGGGCGTTAGGACCCACACAGACCACAGGGTGAGCACCCCCTGCTGGCCTCAGTAACATATTCAACTTATATCAAAATGATACAAGGCAACCTGATTGCACGCTAGTCAGGATGTTGTGAATGATATTGATTGCCCTGTATCTCCTGCTCCACTTACATTAATTTCTATAGTTATATGACATCTATCAGCTTATGTGTTGGAATTTATGTGCTGGATTTTGTTGGAAAACAAAAATGCATTCTTAAACCCTACAAAACAGATTGAATACTTGGATTGAACCCTTCAGTTGATTAAACTCTTTAATATTACACTTTTTTTTAATACATTGCAATATATAGAACTTGATATAATGCATTTAACTAAGACATCTTTCCTAAAACAGACATTTTGCCTTTGCCTTGTTTAACACTCACAAAGGGCAGAATCAAATTTAATTTAATTTTTATTTTTTTAAATTAAAAAAAAGAGTAAAGAACAAAACTAAGCTGTTTTGATGGTACGAAACAGCTCTCCAGTGTGAACTTCTCAGAAAACTTTGCAGCTGCACCCACTTACTGCCATTGGTCCAGTGTTTTGCATAACAGAAGTTACTTTTTCTCTTTTTTTTTTTTTCTTCATCCAATCCATCTCACATTTAAATACTTTTCTAAAACACTGCCTGCAAATATTTGGGCAGCTTCTGACCAATTGTTAGCGGTAAAAAAAACAAAAACAGAATTTTGCTGTGAGTATGCTGAGACCTTTAGACAGTACATTTCTTCCTTAGGTAGTTTGCAATCACAGTGTAAGGATTTTGCTCATGTGCGGAATGCAATCTCTTCCAGGAGGAACAGTACAAGGCTTGATCTCAGATCTTTTGGGAAAGCGAGCTCCTGTGTTAGCGATCAGTTTGCTGCTGGCCATGGGAGCATTAGTGGGATACAGCCGTGAGTTTACAGACTAAATCATGTTGTCTAGAAAATCTGAGTACCCTTTCTTTATATCATAATTTTAGAAATGAAAGCAGCATAAATTTCTGTTTTTAACTTTTTTTTTTGTTAATCTTTCCTCAGACTCTCCAAATAACCAGCTGGTAAATGGAGCTCTTCTAGCAATAACAGGTGACACAGTTATAATTTTTTTTTATCATATTATAATATGAACTCAGCCCATAGTTATTCCTCATTCTTGTTTAGGAAACCACTAACATTTAAATATTTTTATAATTTGTTTCAGGTTTCCTTATCGGAGGCCCATCAAACATGATCAGTTCAGCGATCTCTGCAGATTTGGGTCGACAGGAGGCACTGCAGAATAGTCAGGAGGCTTTGGCCACCGTCACGGGAATAGTGGACGGCACAGGAAGCTTTGGAGCAGCGGGGGGACAGGTAACGCTTTAATAATTAATACAAAATCATATTAATCAGTAATGTCATAGCCCAATTTTCGTGATCAAGTCAAATGCAGAAGGAATAAAATCAAGTCCTTACTTCACTCTATTATCTTTTTCACTCTGAAATATGCCCTGCGGAAGTTATGCAAATCATGTTCATTGTGTATGTTTTTTTAATGACGTATTATTGTTATTTCATGTGTAAGTACTAATTTAAAAATGTCTCTGTTTTGTAGTATCTGGTATCGCTTATCGAGAGCAAATTAGGATGGATGTGTGTCTTCTACTTCTTCATATTTATGGTAGGTTAATTGTGATGCAACAGCACAAATTCAGCCAAAACATTAAACACACATATTTTCAGTGGACAGAGAAGTTATTCAGTGAACAGTGAATGTGAATCTGTAAATCATTAAAACAGGAAACAGACCTAAAATATTAATGACTTATCCTGCTCTACAGTCAAATGGTCTCTAGAATAAGAATGTCCCTCCCTTCATTACTTTTTACCATTGACTAGCAAGCAGCAAATCATATAATGTAATATAACTAAAACAAAGGGCACAATATTCCAACAGAAAATACATCAACACAAGAAAGAAAACTGTGCCAAACCTTGGTATACGATATTTGAACAAATCAAATAAAAGAACATAAAAAAACTGCTATTCACCTTTAAATGTAGCATCTACCCTAAGTCCTAGTCAGTGTTCTGAAAGCTGAGCTGAGCAAACACTTTAACATTTGTCTTTCTCTCATCCACAGACAGGGTGCAGTGTACTCTTCATCATTCCACTCATTTACGGTGAAATCCGCTCCTTGTGCCGGGACAGTCAAGCTCGAACGCATCAGCTCTGAGATGAACTTCCTTTGCCTGAATCTGGATAGAAAAATAGGGCATTTTGAAAATACAGACATCCTATTTGGGAATTCACCTTCTGTTGTAGAATTTTGTTTTCAGCAACAGAAACCTCACATTCAGTCTGTCTACTCCATATCAAAGCATTGTTCAGGCAGGCAGAAAATGTGTTTTTTCTTTTATTAACATGAAAGCCTGATTTCACAAATGATCTGACTCTGATCTTATTTTTTGGAAGACTCTTGGCAATGTGATGACTTGTACCTCATTACTTTAGCAACCACTGTCTGTACAAAAGGGTCGTGAAATGGCAGTGTGGTCATTTCTAAAGGTTGGATATGGAAACCAAAATCAAGTTTGTTTTAGATTTAGATCTTTTTTTAAATCTCTCCCTCAAATTATCCCATTTATGAACGCCATCTTGGAATGTTGCTTAAAATTAGTTTCTGTTTTATTTCTGTGTATTGCCGTCAGCACCTTTTTTTTTTATTATTATTTAAATTTAGAGTTTTTTAATTCCAGTTTTATAATTATTGTTAGAGGGCAGGACCCTCTTGAGCTTAATTCGTGATGATTGTAGCCGGATTAAATAGTGTATTGAATGATTACTTGAACTGAGGACCTAGATTCATAGCATCATGTAGGTTTTTGGGCTGGTAATTTCGGTGTTAGATGTGCATCTTTTTTTTTTTTTAATTCACACTAAGTGTATAATGGTATATTTAAATATAACACTACAATTCAGCAAATGTATGTTTTGTATTTAAACTATTGGAACCTATACAGTTATTGCTTGAATGTTTGAAATGTGTGGTATATTGTTCCTACATATATAGTTGTATATAGTCATAATAAATACAGGTGCATAACATGTCTTTATTAAACAGCTTAGATGGATAGATGTATGGATGGTTGGGTGATTGACTCTGTTCACTCATTCTCAACCACTACTGTCACCTCTACTGTACAGGTGCATCTCAATAAATTAGAATGTCGTGGAAAAGTTCATTTTTTCATTTGCAAAAACAGATAACTCCGTTTTTAAAAATTTTCAAAAATCATGTTTTTTTCAAAATCCCGTATTCCAATTAATATCAATCAAACTGCAGTTTGGTTGTTTTGATTTTATAATAATAACAAAAAAAATACAGCTAACTAACACAATAAAACAATAAAAACAACACAATAAAAAACATGATTTATGAAAATTAAGAGTGATCTGTTTTTGCAAATAAACTCTTCGTATGTTCATAATAATTGAGGGAAAATTAGCTACTTTCATTTACAATCTTGATTGCTTTTCTTAATAACATTAAACAGGAATAACAAACAGAAGGGCATGAGTATTATTATTTTTTTTTTTTTTTCCTTATCTTTTTCTTGTAATCATTCTTAAGGTTAAAATGCATGTTGTTCTGCTGGGTTTGGTTGTGGCAACATTTCTTTTTCTAAGAAGCAAAGCAAGCAGCAACTTTAAGGAGTGTTTATACAACCAAACCGTTTATGAACTAAATGACTGAATCCTAAATATCAAAGAATCCTAAAAATGTATCACAGTCTGCACAATAAAAATAAGCAGGGCAACTGTTTTCAACACTGATAACGCGAAGAAATGTTTCTTGAGCACCAAATCACCATTTTAGAATAATTTCTGAAGGATCATGTCACACTAAAGATGAGTAATGCTGAAAAGCTTTGATGTCCATCAAAATGTCCATGTTAATTTTAGTTCACAGTGCATTTACTAATATTAAATGTAAAAATAAAAAGATGGGAATAAAGAACCCTAAACTCATCCATGTGGGGAAGAATGATATTCGGAAAGAGCAGTCAGAACTCCTTAAGAAGGACTTCAGTGAACTCTTTGAAACACTTCGAAGACTTAAAGTTCAGTCGTTCATCAGTGGACCACTCCCAGCAAGGGGAACTAATATGTTTTCACGTTTGCTTGGGCTGAACACATGGCTACAAAGAATCTGCAGCTTAAAAGGAGTCAGTTTCATCGACAACTTCAATCTTTTCTGGGGCCATAGACAACTGTTTAAACTGGATGGCCTCCACCCAAACAAACTTGGTGCAAGAGTGCTAAAGGACAACATCTACTTTTCCCTCCGTCATCCTTCAGTAGTGTGTGCCAAACTACTCAACCTGAATGGCACACACACACCTGGACAGAGTGACGACAGGACTTCATATCAGCTTCCGAGTCATCATGTGGTTGATACATCCCACAAGGACATTGATAACACCACGAAGCCACAACAAGCACTGCTCAATGAAACTATCCCGGCTGAGCCCTGCCCACAGAGCTCATCACAGACAGACTGCGACGTATCAGAACAGCTCCAAGACTCGGCACCCAAGGATGACTTTCTGGAAAACAGTCAGGGAAGCCAGGACAACATATTTCAGCCACCGGTAACACCAGAGCCACAGCCCCGCTCACCAGACACATTATCCCTCTCTCCAGCATCTCCACTTCTAAGCTTCTCACAGAAAATGGAGGAACTGGTTTATGCTGGGACCAAACTCTCCCACTCTTTCGCTGCAAGCCCCCAGATATCAACTAAAAAACGGCGGGCCCCACAACCACCAAAGCCTGTGGGCCCAGCTCGGCCTCCTCCTCCTGTGAGAGCTCTCCGGCCGCTGCCACAACGCCAGGGCCCAAACACTCCATCTGCTGTAGGTGAACCAAAAACAACTGATA